ATCATGTTCCCCTATAGGGATTTCAATGGCTGATTTCCAGTTCTGAATGGAGTGAGTGTATCTTTAGCCATGTTTGCTTAGCTTGAATGACAAATTTACCATTCATTCATATGGTTAAGATGTACTCATTGGTGGCCTCCAGTGGTCCAGCAAAGTACCAAAGGTACAGAGTTGTTACACTGTGGACTAGGGATGCGCCGAAACATATCGGCCAAAAATTGCACTTTTGGCATAATGCCGAAAGTGCCATTTTCCTGCCGATACATCGGCGCATCCCTGCTGGGCGCTGCTCTGTGTCTCTCTGTATTAAGCATTAAGGAAAAATTCTCCAATTCAGCTCACTTTCCACTTCAGCTATGTTATCCTAGACCAGTGGTGGCGAACCTTGGCACTCCAGCTGTTTTGGAACTACAAGTCCCATGAGGCATTGCAAGACTCTGACAGCCACAGACATAACTCCCAGAGGCAGATGCATGTTGGGATTTGTAGTTTTGGAACAGCTGGAGTGCCGAGGTTCGCCACCAGTGTCCTAGATTGTTCACTTCTCCTGCCTTCTCCAACTCTTCACGCTTTGTGAATAGCCCTGTCTGTGTAACAAGTCTTTGAAAGTCAGTAATGGGGAAACGGCTGACTGCAGGGAGCCTACAAGCAATACCGATAAGTAATTCGTTCTTTTCCCTCTGCTAGGATTTTTTGGACACAACTTCCACAGTACAGATTTTTTTGTTATTGAGCAGTGATTTATTCATTGGATGTGAGGCTCTGTAGTTCCCGGACTACCTTCAGCAGGTTTTTTAGCCTTTGGTTATGGTTTTGCAATGAAGCAAACCCCTTTAATAAATTTTTCCAGGGGCTCCAAGGCTATGATCATGGCTATTTACTTTAACTAAAAACTTAAAGTATAAATAAATCCAAGAACAAAAATATGATATAGTGCAGCCCTGTGGTGGCAGCATGAGTTTCCTTTTTAAGGCCAAGTATATTTTCTGCAAGTACAGAAATAATACTTGTTGATGCTGTTGGAAATCTTGTGTCCTTGTAACTTTATGTGGACTGAACTGAAATCTCAAACAATGTTATCATTTTTATCTGCCATCTCCTGTGAACTGCAAAGCAACACCCCTCTATGTAATGAAGATAAGGAGGGGGGAGGTGTTTTTTAGTTCAAATCAGTAGAGCAACCTATGGTGCAGTGAGTGCACATTGCCACCCTAGACAGGGCTGGATTTACTCTCTGCTGCCCCAAGACCAGGTTCCTCAATGTGCCCGCCCCCGCCATGGAGAATGGCAGAACTGCAGGCTGCATACATCGTCGAGATAACTTGTAGAAAACAAGCGGCTGCTTCACCGCTGTACATTTAGCTCCGGGCTAAATGTAGAAAACAAGTACCCATCTGGTGCCTGGAACTGCATGTGCTGGGCATCGGGAGATAGGAATTCCACACCCCTGCTGCCCAGAGACCGGGCCTTGGTTGGTCTTGTGGGAAATCCAGCCCTGACCCTAGAACAGGTAGTGTGTTATTTGGAGAATCACCAGGTGAAAATAAAGTAAAAAGCCTGCAAAAGGAAACTAATGCAGCCTCTATATCCAAGGACTGTTAAACTGCAATAGATTATATTTGGTGTTCACATATGCTTTAAGCCATAGACTGCAGGAGACCGCTGGGCATACAGAGATGGCCCATCCACCTAAAGATGTCTTTTAAACACAAAGACCCAGGATCTGAAAAGGGGCAATTCCCTTTCACAGTACGTTGTGTTGCATACACACCACTTGCATGTAAAACCTGGCTGTGGATGTGTAGGCTTGTTAAATATTGACCAGACAACAGTCTATAAAGGGAACTATGATGAAACCACTTCCGGGCCGCAATACGCCTTTTTTGGTGTCCCTAGGTGACATTAGGGGTCTGCAAGACACCTGATGTCTCCATAAAGAGGACCTGTCACAGCCTATCTGCTATTAGATAGGGTGCTTGTTAGCTCCCGATCTAATAGCAATAGGGTTAGTGGAAAAACAATAAAATAAAGTGTTAAAAATTTAAGTAACATAAAAGAAAAATTATAAAATGGAAAAAATAATTTTTTAAGATCCCCGCCCCCCACATACAGTACACACGCAAACATGCGTCGGTGCGCCTATGTTCGAAAACGACAAGTGCGCTATACATGTTACATATCGCCGCAAACGTCAGAGCGAGAGCAATAATTGTAGCGCTGTCAATGACTGTTAACACTAAACTGATGAGCGGTAAAAGCGTTTAAAATGTTCCCTTTGGGTAATTTTCGGTATTTTCTCTTTTTTTGCGGCTTCACGGGAGAACACAATTTTAAGGCTTGACATGTTTGGTATGTATTTACCCGACGTAATCCCGTCTTTCATATTTTACAAAAAAATTGGGTATTATATTATGTTTCTATGCACTAAATAAACTAAATAAATTTGCGCAAAAACCGTGCAACGTAAAAAATTGCACCTAGCATTTTTTTATTCTACAGGGCCTCAGCTTTCAGAAAATATATCATTGTTGGGGGTTTGAAGCTGTTTTCTAGCCCCGGATGGCAAGTGGTTAAATCACTTTATCAGATGGGTACTCAGAACATACATCTCAGCTCGTGCACATTTTCCTATCACCAAACTTAAAACTGCTTTCATGTTCTAATATTATACAATAGTGGCATCAGGTGGCAGACTAGAGAAAGTACAGATTCACTGGTCAGACCACCACACTGCATAATTTACATCAGAAGAACAGAAAAAAAAAAACTATTCCCAAAAGAATAAGTTCATCCATTCCAAAAACAGACTTCGAGGGAGCGTTTAGTGTCCCCTTTGTTCTGCATGGCAGGCACCTGAAAACTGCATCTTATCCCCTGTAGAACATCTGATAACCCAGAAACCTGGACCACTCATCATTGTGATAAGCAACCCAAAACAGCCACAAGTAATGCATATGAGGAAGAAGAGGATGGGCCATAGGAGTGGCCATGGAAGCCGATTAATACATGCATTACAGCATAGCAAAGGTGGTGCTGAGCAGGAATCAGGCAGCATGAAGACACTTACAGGTGCCTGCTGTTCAGAATCGGTAAGACAGATTTTTTCACAGGTACACTTTAAAGCAACTCTGTTGGTAAATTGGTAAATGAATACTGTGCTTAATGTTCCCACTTCCATGCCACTCTGTTCAATGGAAATTCTGGTGAAGACCGCTGACATTGTTTTGTTTTTTTTACTTACAGAGTCACTTTTATGCGGTATGCTATTTTGGGAAAATAGCAGAAAGAAAGAGAAGAGTAGAAAGAAAACTGGAGCACAAGTGCAGCACAAAGAGCTTTCCCTAGGCAGGGGATGTTTATTCTAGAAATTTTCATTTTGGTATCACTTCTGGTAGGGGAAAAAACTGTTTAATAATACCCTAAATATCCGTCTGAGACCACAAACTGAAAGAGCAAATCTTTTTTCACATCGTAATTAGTTGAAAAATGTTAAAAGATGTTTACCTTTGGTAAACTTACCTGTCCCTGCTGACAGGCTGACTTACCTGTCATACGGCCAAGACTGAACCATGCATGCACAGTAGGTCCATTGCACCACTGGGACTTATGATGACATGTATGAAGATTGTAATGGGATCTCGCGATGGACTACAATCTCAATACAAATGGGTAAACTAAATGTGAGATTGTAGTCCATCACAGGAGCGAGCTTGGAGCGGTGACTACTAAAAAGGAGAAGTATGAGGTGAGTGCTTTTCACTCGCCTCATAGTTCTAGCTGACCTGTGACAATGAGACTGTCACAGGTCGGCTCAGTAGATCGGGAGGTGAGCGAACACATACCGGCGTTCATTCACCTCTCGATCCTGTCGCAGCTCTCTGCCGTGACAGGGGAGGGGCTGGATTCCCCTCTCCCCGCTCCGATCCTCCAGCGCTGACTGTCGGAACGGACGGGGGAGGGGGCTGGTACAGCTGGCTCTGCCTCTGGATAGGCAGAGCCAGCTGTCAGTCACGCAGCTGGGCGGATCCCGGCACAATTGTCGGGATCTGCATCAGCTGCGGCGTCTCCGTATACCGCGAGCAGCAACTGAGCCTAGGTTGACGGGAGGACGCTAGTTTGTGTCCTCTCGTTACCCTAAGGAGAACTATGGGGAAAAGCCTTAACCCCATAGTTCTCCTTTAACAACCCCATCAGGGACCATGGGGAACAAAAGTAGTCACCCTCCAGAAGGAAGGACAGTGTCTGCACCAATTCAGAGATGATTTGAGGATCTACAGCCGAGTGATACACAAATAAGATACATGTTTGTAATAGTTTAGGTCTTTGAATACATTTTTAAGATTTCACTCCTGAGTTTAGTGTCACTTTAAACATGGAAACAATGGCTACACTTTTGTCAAGCACATTCAGCTGTATTTCTGCAGGCTCCGATTCAGGACCATAGATTAAACAAGAAGAAGGATACAGGCAGCAGTGGGGATTTAGCTGCCAGGGCACCAGATGAAAATCAGAGCCATGCATCAGGTAAGCCATTTCTCCTGAGGGGGTTCAAATGCAAAATTCCATTCTTCAGCTGCACGGAGCTTTAAAACTGCTGATGTTCTGGTCTGCAGAAGAGATATGTCCTACACATAACAGGCACTGGAACTTCAGAGAATATTCCAATAAGTGAACTAAAGTGCAAAGGGCACTTCAACAATTTACTACCAGTGGCTCTAAGAAAACTGTACTTTAGGAAAACAACCAGAGATAAATAAAAATTACTGAATATCAGCATCCTGTTCAAAGAATAAGGAATAACACCAAACACAACTGGGTTTAAACTGTATTTTCACACACACACACACACACACACCTCTTCTTCGCTTTGCATTAAAAATGATATATTAATAAAACTGCAGTGTTGTTGTTGAAGATGTCTGCACACAGATATAAATAGAATGCTGGATAAAAACTACTACATTAATAAAACACTAATATATCTAAGAGAAGCAGAGGATTTTGCTGGAGACCCCCCCTCAAGGCCGCTGGGTGTTAGGAAGTTTGGAACTCAGTCTTCTTTGTTCCTTTTCTTTCTGCAACTACAAAACATGTAACAATGTCAATAGAACACTAATAATGCACAAAATATATGTAAAGCCTAACTAAAGTTTTCTTTTTATCAAATTAATGCAGTCGGCCTGCGTAAACAGTGACAGTTATGCAAGTCTTTTTTATTTTTGAATGCACTATTGTGTCCTGGCAACACTCAAAGTTGTGCAGTGGTCCAACACGCCCCCTGCAAAATGCTCCAATTAATGCCAAAGTAAAGTTGAACTCTTGCCATACTGCGCCCTCCTCCAGCGCTGATCGATCTAGACTGTCACTCTCTGCTCTGTCCACCAACATCTCCTAAAATGCTTCTTCTGGGCCTTCATTGCTTTTTTTGTTCATTGGGTTGCCTCTCATGACATAACTCCTGTACATGCGAGCAGGTTACATTACCCCCAAGTACCAAGCATATTACAGCTGCCGGGAAGACCCGGGGTAATATACTGCACAGAGCATACGTCATACAGTGAACACAAAAGAACTGCTAGAGTTGAGAAGTAGTTTTTTTTCAGCAGCAGAGGCTTTGTAAGTCTTTCTGCCAACAAACCCCCCCCCCCCCCCCCCCTTTTTTTTTTTTTTTTTTTTTTAATCTTTTTTTTTTTTTTTTT